GACGATCGGAGTGCATCGCATGTTTGGGTTGGGGTTTCGGCTCTCTTGATTTAATCTACACCCCTAACCCCGAACCTCTAAGCCCCTACCCAAGCCCCCTAAACTTAAACCACCCTAAACCCTAAACCCTCAACCCTATCCCCCTAGCCCCCCAAATGCTAGGATTAGCCCTAAACCCTGAACCCTAAACCCTGCACCCTGCCGCGCAGTTGCAAACGCCAGCGTCATGGGCGGTTCCGGTATCGAGCCCTTTGTGAAGCTCCTAGACGGCGGAGAGGCGCGGAGCCGGGTATAGTGTTTAGGGTTTAGAGTGCAGGGATTCGGGGTTTAGGTTCAAGGGTTTAGAGTTGAGGGTTTAGGGATACCTGTTCAGGATTTTGGGGTTTAGGTTCTAGGGTTCAGAGTTTAGGGTTTAGGGATGCCTGTTTAGGCTTTTGGGGATTAGGGCTCCTGACTGGTGGCTTCTGGCTTCCCAGGATGGCGCCTTCTTCTGCGACATGAAGGCCTCCCTCTTAAGCTCCGGGTTTAGGGTCTAGGGTTTAGGGTTTAGGGTTTAGGGCAGCTTTCATGAAAGGCCCAGTGAAGCTCGTGTCGGTGAGGATTACTTCTACTACTCGCAGATCCGGTCACAAGACGAGAACACCACAAAGGCCTGCAACCGGCAGCACCATGCAGGTACATCAAGGCAGGTAGTTTTCTCAGAGAACTCGACAGCTTGATGCCCCTTGTGCAGGCGAGAGCCTTGGATGGCATGATCCCAGTGCAGGACACTCTCTTGGGGATGGTGAAAGCATTCGATGTGCAAGCAAGCTTGCCCACGTCACCTTCAAGAGTCAATGACCATCGCTAAACACTATATTTTACATTTGGGTTGCCAGGCTCCATGATGGAGCTATCGGTAACCATCTACCTTAAACCCTAAACCCTAAACCCTAACCATAGACCCTAACCCTAAGCCTTCCTAAGCCCCTAAATCCCCAAACCGTCTTCCTAGCCCCTAAAAAGGGCCCAGCTGAGCTGTGAAGTACCAGGAGATCCCGCACCTGATGTGTGCCCTGGGGTACTTCCCTACACAGCTGGAGATTACGAACATGACCAACGAGGCCGCTGGGTTTTGGGTTTTGGGTTTAGGGGGGGCCGGATGAGATCATGATGGTCGGATCTGCAAGTCGGATGCTCGTCAGATGTGTCTGGAGCTGAAGGTAAAGTATTCAAAGTTCGCGGAGACCGGCGAGTACGTGGAGAGGTGGCTGTTACGACAGTGGGGTTTTCTGCCTTCTATACTTAGCCGCATAGAAACGCCATCCATGGCAGGATAGGATTTGACGACCTGGTGAAGCTCTACGTGACCTCCCGAGCATTCATCCTGATATCCAGTCGTTCTTGGTGTCGTGCCGATGATATTGAGGATGGCGATGATGCCGCGGCTGATGACGATGTTGCTGATGATGCTTACTATGATGGTGATGACGATCTTGATGGTGGCCTCGATGACTCGATGACCATGACTAGAACCATGTTTGTAAACAAGTCCTCTCTCGGATCCCGAGGTGAACCACCGACCGGTCTTCGCCGTGGGCCCTGAACAGATTAGACAAGCCTTCGAGGCAGGTGGAGGGTTTAGGTTTTATGGGGTACCGGAAGTGATCAAAGATCATCCTCTTCTCCTACCCTTTGTCGATGGCATTTCTTCGTAAAGCGGCTTGCAGTTCGTGTATTGCTCTGCTTCCGCTTCATTCCCCCTCCTCTTCATTTCCATGCACTTAAGTTCCCACCTTCTGCATCGTGGCGCATCACCTCTTCTTCAGCATTGCAGTTTTGGGACGTTCCTTGCTCCTACAACCCTAAACCCTGAACCCTAAACCCTGAACCCTAAACCCTGAACTTGGACAGGCCACCAAGAGGCACGAGCCTGGACCTTTGTCGCGGGAAGGTTTCCTCAGTCTCCTCACCAGCTCGGATCTCAGACTTGCCCGGACACGTCCTTCTGAAATTAATATTATTGCTCGTATTCTGGCTCTTCTGATTAGCTGTTTGAATTATTAGTGTTATTATTAGTCTTACTCTGCTGATGTATTTTTTGAATTATTATTGTTGCCATTATTCTTATTCTTCTGATAGCTCTCACGAGTATTATTATTGTTATTGTTATTATTATTATTATTATTGTTGCTATTATTCGTATTCTTCTGATAATTCTCATGATTCTTATTAGGGAACCACCGGAGCCACCTGGGAAGCTGAGCTTCGCACTCGCGCGATCGCCCGAGCTGCCCGCTGCCTTTTTTGGAGATCAAGGGACCTTGGTGTGCCGTTCGGATGAAGATGGAGTGTTAGAGTTTAGTTTAAGGTTTAGGGTTTAGGGTTTAGGGAGTGTTAGGTTTTAGGGTTTAGGGTGATATCACCGAAGTCATGAGTAGAGTAGTTCTTTGGGATAGTGCAACAGTGCAACCGTCACGGGACCGCGCTCCGGTCATGTTTTCCCTCAGTGACCTTCCGCGCCCCGGGGCATTCTGGATCCCTTGTGCCTTGGTTTTGATTGCAGGGTGTGATGCTGCGCCCCTGTGCTCCAGGGCAGGTGAGAACTGCCAGGCAACCTCGTGCTGCGAAGAGCCCGGCCACCAGTGCTTCGTCAAGGACTCTTCATGGGCAGGATGTAAGCCTTCCTGCGCGCCTGGCATCGACGCTGCCGACCCGGCGCAGTTCCGTACGCCGTGGTCATGCGAAGTTTTCAAAGCTTCAATGGCCGGTACAAGCACATGCTCCATCGCAGGAGTTGGCTGTATGAACACCCGGTGTTGTGTAGATCCAGACAATCGCTGTTTCCAGAAAGACCAATACTGGGCGGACTGCAAGCCTCACTGCGAGCCTGGCATCCACGAAGAGGATGCGTTGCAGTTTCGGACGCCCTGGCATTGCGGCCTCCTCGATGTGAACGACTCCAACCCCTCCTTGGTAAGCTTCGAGGCCATCCCAGAACCATCGGAACCCGCCAAAAGCTGCTCTGGAACGTGGCAAAACTGCCAGAGCACGAGGTGCTGTTCACAGGAGGGTTACACTTGCTTCGAGAAGGACGAGACCTGGGCGGACTGTCGGCTAGACTGCACGCCGGGGATCAACTCGGATGATCCGGAGCCTTACCGCACTCCCTGGAAGTGCAACGTTTTGGAGCCCGTGGTTTTCAGGGGCTCATCGCTGGAGACCAAGGTCTTAGCACCTGCCGGGTCGCCAGTTGCACGGCATGGGAGGCTTTTTGTGAAGGGCAACCAGATACTGGGAGATCATGGCCGTCCGGTGCGCATCCGTGGTGTCTCTCTCTTCTGGTCCCAGTGGGGCTCCAAGTACTGGAACCAGCGTGTGATCCAGTGGCTGCGTGATGATTGGCGGGTGTCCTTGATACGCGCAGCCATGGGAGTCGAGGATGGCGGCTACTTGGAGTCACCGGACAGGCACAAGCAGATCCTGGCAGATGTGGTCGATGCTGCCATCTTAGCGGGTCTCTACGTCATCATTGACTGGCATGACCATGCAGCTCACTTGCATCAGAAGGAGGCCAGGTCCTTCTTCTCAGAGATGGCCCGAATCTACGGGCAGTACCCGAATGTGATCTTTGAGCCATGGAACGAGCCTATTGACCAGTCGTGGAAATACATCGTTCGGCCCTATCATGAGATGATCCTTGGGAAAATCCGCCAGTACAGTCCCAATTTGGTAACATGTGGATCCCCCTCCTGGTGCCAGGATGTGGATGTGGCTTCAGAGCAGCCTTTGGATGATCCCAACGTTGCCTACGCTTTGCATTTCTATGCCGGCACGCACCAATCCTCGATCCGAAGAAAGGCGGAGAAGGCTCTGAAGAATGGGGTCGCGCTCTTTGTGACGGAGTGGGGGCTGTGCCAGGCGCATGGCGATGGCTCCCTGAACTTCACTGAGACGGAGCTCTGGTTGAACCTCCTTGAAACCTACAACATCTCTGATGCGAGTTGGGCGGTGAATGACAAAGACGAGAGTTGCGATGCTTTGATTCCCGGCGCAGACTCTGAGGGAGGCTGGGGTCTCGAAGATCTAACTGCCTCCGGACAATATGTACGCAAGTCACTGGTGGACATGCCTTGGGATTCAAAAATCCCTACGAAAGAACCGCTGGACTTTGATGAGAGTGGCTGTGCAATGATGGTTTTAAGTTTCTTTCATGCCGTCGTCTTGCTGGCACTCTTTTGAACGGCACTCTCACCTCAATCCCTTGCATGAATCTTGTGTAGCTACAGAGAATGTACAGGTGCATGAGGACCCTGCGCAGTGTCTTGTCTAAACGTGCTCCACGCGCAGCAATCCGATAGTTCCGAGTGCGCCGACGGAGCAATAGTTCTCGAGGCATGGCGGAAAGGACGAGCATGCTTTTCTCGTTGTAGTCCGCAGGAGACCATGGTGCCTGGTGCCTCTTAGTGTCCTAGAACCCGGGTGACGACGGTGTTCGAGATGTTGGACGATGGGGAACTAGAGTAACTAGACCAGCAACCGCCTTAAAAGCTGGCCCCCCCAAACTCCCTGACCATCCCCCGGCCCGTACTAACTCCTAGAATGCGAGGACTAAGCCATCCGAGCCAGACCGAGCCAGACCGCTCGCCGCGAGGTCACGGTGAGAAGATGTCTTATGAGGAGCTCGAGCGATGCTTCGAGGTCCGACCTCCCTGTCGGCCGGAAATCAAGCGGGAGATATGACATGTCTATGTCAATGTGATATGATATGGCACAGTATGATATTATATGACATAATAAGAAGACTGAGAATGATAATGACAACTAATAGCAAAAACAATGATAAGATGCATAAGAATGATAAGACGAATGCTAGACCCCATACTAAGAGCAAAAGTAAGAATAATTGCACTACTCCTACTACTACTACGACGACGACGACGACTACTCCTACTGCTACTGCTACTACGACGACGACGACGACTACGACGACGACGACCACGAATACTACGACAGTTACTACTACTACTACTACTACTACTGCTACTACTACTACTACTACTAATAATAATAATATAACTATAATAATAATAGCAACAAAAAATAACAATAATGAGAGGTACACTAATGAGAAAAAGATGAACTATGACAACAAGTATCAAGAATTATGCTATGCTCATACTGATACTGATACTAGTAATGCTACTCTCTCTTTTTCCCTATCTGCATACATACATACATACATCCATCCATCCATCCATCCATGCATGCATGCATGCATGCATGCATGCATGCATGCATACATACATATATGTATATTTATACATACTATCATACATGGATATGTATATACATATGTACACTCATGCAGTTTCACATAATAAGTGCGCATATACGCATTGATGTAGATATAGACCAGGCATAGATGTAGAATAGGCATACACGCATACACAATATGTGAATGCCGATGTCTGAGCATGTGTACCTCTCATCATATGCGGGGGTATGCACTGCATGCCTGTCTGTGTGCATCCATGCATGAGATAAACCTTCACCAGTCTGTATCACTGTCAGATGCTAGTGCCAAGCATATAGGTTTGATACCCAAACATGAGAAGACGTGAGTCTGCGTCGTCTGCGTTCGTGTATTTATCTGTCCACATGTTTTAGAAGCAAATTGACACGTAGACGCCACTGACAACGAACACAAGAACAGGTATCTGAAGAGATCAAAACAGGAACGACTTGAATGTTAAAACCAGACACACACGAAACAAGCCCAAACTCTGATGCCTAAACTCTAGACCCTAAGCTCCAAACTCCCACCCTAAACCCTAAACCCGCATCTGCAGAAGTGCAGGCATTGGTGGGAGACTCCTCCATCAACCGGGTCCTCGAAGAGGAGGCGCGGACCAGCCTTTGAGGGGGTGTGAGACTCATGGAAGCTGTAAGTTTAGGTCTTTGGGTGTTTGGGGTCTAGGGCCTGGCTTTAGGGGTTGAGGGTTCAGGGTATTAGTTTAGGGTTTAGGGTTCAGGGGTTTGTGGCTGAGGGGTTTATATAGATTTTTCGGGTGAAGGGTGCAGGGTTTTGGACTTAGGAACCCGAGCTTCGGTACCCTATGAGACCTATAGTCTTGCATCCTTAAACTCTAAACCCTGAAGCCCTAACCCTAAAAGTCCCTAAACCCCTAAACCCTAAACCCCTAAACCCCTAAACCCCTAAACCCTAAACCCTAAACCTTAAACCCCTAAACCCTAAAACCCCTAAACCCCTAAACCCGGCCTCGAGGTCGACGCACTCGACT